TGCTCACTCTTAGCGGCCACTTGTGACCCGACATCCTAAGACACAAATATCGCCTGCCACCCTCCCCTAGGTTACCTTCTTGCCACATTCATAGCAGATCCTTGGGGATTTGGGACACGCATTTTGTTTTGGAAGGATCTGTGGCATGGTCAATCTCCGGAGAGATTCCCAGCTCTTTACTCGCTGGCCTGTTTTCAAGATTCTCCGATGGCCGAGGAAATGATGATCACGGTGTCTAGAAGATCTTGGAATCCTATTTTCAGATGCCCCATAAATGATGGTGGACTTTCACAGTTTGTGATTCTTTCTGCCGAACTACAAGGGTGTTTCCTAGCCCTTCACAGTGAAGACCGCATTACTTGGACGGCAGTGGCCTCGAGGATTTTTTCGGTGGCTTCGTTCTTCCAAAAGTTGACACAGCCTCCTACCCTCTCACCCCTACTTCTATTGTGGCACAGGTATGGTCTTCTTTTACACCTCCAAAGTTGAAGATTTTCATGTGGATTGCTCTTTCAATGAGGGTTCTTACTGTAGACCAGTTGCAAAGAAGCGGTATTCCCATTCCCAACCGTTGTGTTTTGTGTATAGTGGATGAGGAAACAAATACCCACTTATTCCTATTGTCCATTCGCCTTTAAATGGGGGAAATCCTTTGTCTCTTCAAAGTCCAATGGGTGCTACCGGCTACTGTCCCTAACATTATCTCTACTGTCCAGCCTCATGGGCCAAAGGCTGGCATGTTATGTGGAAATTGGCGGTGGCCGGTGCCATTTGGATAGAACGGAACAATAGCATTTTCTGGGGAGAGCATTCTTCTTGGTACAACACCTTCGTCAAACTCAAGTCCATGCTGATCTTTTGGGCGACCAATCGTAGATACTTCAAAGGTATGCCTACTATGGCCTTTGTCCAAAATTGGGAGGCTGCCCTCCTACACAATAGCAAACGCCTTTCCAGGGCTGTGCTAGGGAGACCTCCTGCGCAGGGCACTTTCAAGCTTAACTTCGATGGTTGTTCTTTGGGTAACCCAGGGCCCTCGGGTGCTGGTGCGATACTCAGAGATCACAACAGCACCACTGTGGCCTCCTTAACCAAGCTTATAGGCCATATTGACTCCAGTGAAGCTGAGGTCATTGCCTTGCTGGAAGGACTCAAACTCGCAATACCTCTTGAAATCGAATCTCTCACTATAGAGGGTGATTCCAAGAATATCATCACTTGGGCTTCTACCTCTACTCTTCAACCGTGGCAGTTGGCTCTTCTTTTTGACGAAATTAACCACCTTTGCAGGGATACGCTCGTCTTTTGGAAGCGAGGGAAGGTAACCAGGCAGCAGACACCCTAGCTAAGAAGCAGCGACCTCGGCTGGGTCCTAAACTACTACTTTTTGTTGGATATCGGCGCTGGACTATATTTTGGCTGTAACCTTCGCTTAAAAGGCTCTCTTTTTTCTTTTTTGGCTGTAAACTTCCTTGAGAAGGTTTTTTTATTTCTTTGAACTTTGGAGCATCCATGTTGTGGATTGCCCATCTTTCTGATCAATTTAAGGTTAACATTCTCAAAAAAAAAAAAAAACCCTAGCTCAAGCTACTAGGTTTGCAACACTCAGCTACTACTCTATCTGGTTGCTTCTCGGACCTCTCAGACTTGGTGCATTGATGGCGACTTTAACGTAGGATATCCTAGTCTATGCTTGTCTTAATCGGACCTTATCTCCAGAAATCATCTCCTCGACATACTTCTCCACGGTGCTCAGTTCACTTGGTGCCGTTCACCCTTTCTTCCAACCTGTCCCTATTCAAACTAGATAGATTCCTCCTTTCCCTCGCTTGGGACAATGCGCTCCCTGGCACCCATGCCATTGCCCTTCCTAAACCCACTTTTGACCCATTTCACTTCCCTCGCTTGGGACTTTGCGTTCCCTGGCACCCATGCCACTGCTCTCACCAAACCCTCTGACCCATTCTCTTGGACACATTGCCAGCCACCAGAGGACCAAAACCCTTCTGTTTTGAATTGGCCTGGCTCGAGGAGAGCCTAACTTCATGTCCCTTATCCCGTCCTGGCTGAAATCCTTTTCAATCCAGGTCCATTGCTGGGCAGGTTTCTGCCTACAATGGAAACTGCAACTTCTTAAAGTTGCCTTAAAGGACTGGAGCCGAAGTCCTTTTCGATCCAGGTCCATGACTGGGTGGGTTTCCGCCAACAATGGAATTGCAACTTCTTAAAGTTGCTTTAAAGGATTAGAGCCGCCGACTTCCATGAAGCTTCCGTGCGCAGAAAGAAGCTCTGCTCCATTCCCTCCAGCACTGGTATGCCACCGAAGGACGCCTAGTCTTGACCCCTGACGAAAGAAACCAAAAACCACAAACCAAGTGCAGTTACCAGCTTCTCCTTCGCAAGCGATCTAATAGTCCCAACCTTCCAGGGTAAAATTCCTCAATTATGCCGACGTCAACACATCCTTTTTTCACAAAATTGTCAATTGCAGAAGGTGTGACAATACCATCTCCCAATTTGAAGTTGATGAATGTGTCCTTGAACAAGTTCCTCAGGTGAAAAAGGCAATCATCGACTTCTTCAAGCACCTCTTTACGACCCCTTCAGGCCCCAGATTGAGGATGGCCAATTTGTCCTTCCAAACTGTTCCACCTGACAAGGCGGCCTGGCTTGAACGCCTTTTTGCAAAAGAGGAGATCCTTGAGTCACAACCGCTCCCCTGGACCAGATGGATATCCAGTGGCGCTTTTAAAATTTTTTTGGAACTCCCTTCAATCCGACCTGCTTACCTTCTTTGAGGAATTTCACGCGAGAGGCATCATTCACAAAGCCATGAATGCAACTTTGATTGTTTTAATTTCCAAAGTTGACGGGGCAGGAGAGATTAAAGACTTAAGGCCTATTAGTTTGATCAATAGCTTTTACAAGATCCTCTCCAAGGTACTTGCCTCTAGGCTGAGAGAGGTCCTCAGGTGGGTTATCTCCTCGAATCAAGGGACCTTCTTCAAGGAGGGCCAGATCCTCAACAAAGCCTTAGTCACTCACAAATGCATTCGCTCTAGAAACCTAGCCAAGGTCCCAGGCGTGGTCATCAAACTGGATTGGGAGAAAACCTATGACCACGTCGACTGGGCCATCCTAGACAATACCCTTTGGAGGATGGGTTTCAGGCATCGCTGGAGGTTATGGATCCGCGGTTGCATCTTCAACCCTTTCTTCTCCGTACTTATCAATGGCTTCCCCTAATGTTTCTTCCCCTCATCTAGAGGCCTTAGGCAAGGTTACCCTCTTGCACCATTCTTGTTTGCCATTGTCACTGAAGTCTTCAGCAGATACAGCTCTGGGAAGTATCAAGACACCCTCCTAAAAGGTTTCAAAACCAGGAGCCATGGCTGAGAGATCATGCATCTCATTTATGCCGATGACACCCTCCTCTTCTATGATGCCCCCACCCAACAGGTTGACTCGTTACTCCTGTTCCTCAAATGCTTCTAAATGGCTGTCTGATTCAGAGTGAACATGGCTAAATCCAAGATGATTGGAATGTCTGTTGAGACCCCAAGTCATCAGTCTCGCGGATCGATGGAGTCGCAAAGTGGACTTGCCATCTTCAAAATTGGGTCTGCCGTCGTGCGTTGGCAAGCCTGAACAACGCCAATGGAGCCATATCATCCACAAATTCGATCAGAGGCTTGCAGGATGGAAGAGTAGGTTTCTTTCTTCCACGGATCATATGACCCTCATCAAGGTCACTCCAAAATACCCATTTTCTAGATGTTGCTCTTCCATATGCCTTCTTCCGTCACTGTCTGCCTAGAACAACTTAGAGCAACATATGCCTTCCTCCGTCACTGTCTGCCTAGAACAACTTAGAGCAACATATGCCTTCCTCCGTCACTGTCTGCCTAGAACAACTTATGAGAAGCTTTCTCTGGTTGGGAGAGGGGGGCAGAAAGTACCACTTGATCTCTTGGCCAAGGTTGTTTACCTAAGTCCCAAGGGAAACTAGGTATCCGCAACCTAAAAACTAACAACTTAGCTCGTCAAGGCAAATGTTGGTGCACTTTGCCACCTAAGAAAACCACCTCTGACAAGAAGTCCTACAGTACACATACTGTTGTCTGTATTCTGCCTGGCTTCCTATTTGCAGAGCCACCAGCAATTCATCTAGATTGTGGAGATCTCTGCTACACAGCCACAACCTCTTCAAAGACCACATTCGCTTCTGACCTCAGCTTGGTAGCATAATCCATTTCTGTTTGACCGTTGGATTGGCCACTCCCCATTGAGGGAACGTTTCCCCAGTTTGTTCCTCCTTGCTAGAGACCCCCAGGCGACAGTGGCCGATGACTTAAAAAACACTGGGCACTGTTAGGATTTGGAATCCCAACTTTAGGAGGCCCCTGGTGGACTACGAGGTGCCAGACTTCCTGGCCATGTCCTCCCTTCTACAGTCGGCTTCCCTCCCAACCCTAGGTGCCGATAAGATCGTTTGGTCTCCTGCCCCCTCAGGGGTCTCCTCGCTATCCTCCTCCTACTGCAAACTTCAAATGCCCCCAACCTTACCAACCACGCCCCCTTCCATCGCTGCCAGAGACTGGTTGACTCTTGTCCCTCCCAAAGTCCAAGTATTCATCTGGATAGCCATATCCGAGAGGGCCCTTAAAGTCGATCAGATTCAAAGAAGAGGACTGCGGATACCAAATGATGCAACATATGCACAGCAGAGGAAGAAACCAATGCTCACCTAATTATCCACTCTGACAGCGCAAGAAGCCTATGGGGTGACCTCCAACTATTAACACTTTAAAAAAAAAATAAAAAAATCACCATCATCACCTGAGCCTTATCCCAAGTATCTCTACAAATGCAATGTGTTTGTGCTATTTACAAGCATGATATTCATCAAAAAAGAAAGATTCTGGAGGCATTCGATAAAATTTTGATGATGGATGACAGACATTCGTTAAATGTTACTAACATTTGTTTTGCTTTTTCAGATTTTGCAGAAAAATTGGGGGCTCGTGGATATCGTGGTTGATGAATTAGTCCGAAAGAAAAGCTTGAGTAAGCAAGAGTTCCTTCGTTTGGTTGAAGCCAACAGAAGCAGAGCCATAGAGCCTTCAAAGTCTCAGATAATCGAAATAAGAAATGCCAAACTCGCAGAATTCCGAGAAATGATGATGGTCAAAACAGAAGCAGCTAGTACTGGTATAACATCTGATCAAAATAGTGAGCTAAGCCCATAATAAACAATTAAAGAGAAGTAGAAAGTATGAACACTTTCAATGCGAAAAAGGCAAGCCAATGTGATGGATTGGATAACTAAATACAAGATCAAGAATCAAATTAGACAACATGATATGACGATATCATGTATAAATGTATGATGATATCTCAGCTAATTTGTTCATGTTTATCAATCTCTCGTATGTAGAGTTTCTTATTATTAATCATTATATATGTTATTTCTGCAAAATTCACCTTTACCTTGTGCATCTGGAAATAGTCAGCGTCACCTTGTCATTTCTTATATTATGAGAGAAGCATAAAACGTAGGCACTCAGAACCCTAAAGATAGATTCTAGAGGAAATAAGTGGCCGAAATCAATTAAGTGCTTCCCCAGAAAGAAATATAAGTGGACAGATATAAAATCAATTTCGCGTTCTTTTTTATTTTTCTTTTTGAATTTGAGAAGGATGGCAGTTAGTGAGATTGTATCTTTATTTGTTTATTTATTAGTGAGCGCTTTCTTGTTATGTAATCTTTATTCCAAGTATAAGGGAAAACTTTAAATGTTTCTACAGCTGTATAAGGGAACATGTAAAGCAGTCCGGTAAGGGTTTCTTTGCTGGTACTTTTGTTCGATATCTGATACACTCGAGTTCGGGCCATCCATCTTGTGCCACTGTGAGCTTTAGCTATGTAAGATATCTCTCCCTCTCTCTCTCTCTCTCTCTCTCTCTCTCTCACACACACACACACAC